GTGGAATACTAGAGCAGGTTGGATGGGCTGAATGGCCTGCTTCATTTCCTACGTACCCCAACCTGTAGCAGGGCATGGGGAGTTAGTATTGGTCTGTTCACTCACATCAGGACTCAACCCCCTGGCGTAGAAGCAAGTCAGTCTCAGACTTAATGGGACACCTTAGACCTTGACTTGGAGGTGGGACAAGGGGGGAATTATCCAGGGTGGGAGCTGGGCTGTAGCAGCTCAGTTGCAGTGAGAGTTGTTCTCCTTTGACTTGAGGAGTTTATTGTGCGATTTAATAGGATGGTCCACAACAATGAGAGTTTTGTATGGGGTGAATAGAGTGCCATAATCCCACTGGCTCATTAACCAGAGAACACCAATAATTAGCAAAATGTTTAGGAGGGGAGTTGGGGGTGGGTGGAGTGCCGGAGATTAAATAATTGGATATATTTCTGAAAAGAGATACATGTTACTGAAGACTTTTGTCTCAAGCTCAAAGAACAAACACAAGAATATCACATTTCAAATCATTCCAACCTCCTCAGGCCTGCTGTCAAGGCTCAGTCTTTGGGACACACCCATCAGGCAGACTCCATGGGTCTTTTTCTGTGCCGTAGAGCTCCATGTGCCCAAGGGGGGCCTCGCTAATTGGCCACTGTTCGCACAGTCGCTCTCACACACAAACACACTGTGGGTGATGAGGCGAATATGAGCCGAAACCTGACCGTCTGAACTGGGGATATTACTCAGAACTGGCTCCAAATCACAGTCACGTTGTAATCACAGGTTCCTATGAAAGATGCTGGGGAAAACTCAGCATGTTCCAGCACCTCATACATAAATAGAACAACACTTTGTGGTGATGGAAATATTTTAATTTCATGGGATTCCAAAAATATTCTCAAATGTTCTGGGTTTTTTTTTAATGCTGTAAGTTCCGCCAAAATCCTGGGCACGTGCCAAGCTTCGATGGTGTGTGAAATGTTTTGAGCATTACATAGGCTGTTGAGATATCAGCTGGTTGTAAGTCAGTCAACTACTTCCCATTATTCAGACATTCTCTCACAGCCCTGCAAGAGGAAACTGTGGCTTAATTACAATGAAGGTCATAGATTTTTTTTCACAGGTTGGAAAGTGGCTCTTCGGCCCATTGTGACTGTGCTGGTCATCAGACATCAATCTGTTCAAATCCCAGTTTCCAGAACTTGGCCCTTTGCTTTGTAGGCGTTTTGTAACCAAACTGCTCAGTGGCAATATTACACAGCGCTGGAGCAGGTGGGATTTGAACCTGGGCCTCCTGGCTCACAGCGAGGAACACTACCACTGTGCCACAAGACCCCTGGCACTTGACTTAAATGCTGTGGCATTTCAAGTGCACATCTAAATAATTCTTCAATATTTTACCATCCTTCAGGCAGTGAGCCCCAAATATCCATCACACTCTGGGTGAAAAATGTTTCCCTCGAATCCCCTCTTTTATTTTAATTTATTCATGGCATGAGGGTGACCCTGGCTTGGCCAGCATTTGTTTCCCATCCCTTACTTTCCAGTGGGTCTGGAATCACATGTAGGCCAGACCAGGTAAGGTTGGCAGTTTCCTTCCCTAAAGGACAGTAGTGAACCAGGTGGGTTTTTCCTGACAGTCGACAATGGATTTGTGGTAACCATTAGGCTTTTTATTTCAGATTTTTAAACAAATTCAAATTCCATCATCTACTGTGCAGGAGTTGAACCCAGGTCCCCAGAACATTACCTGAGTCTTTGGATTAACAGTCCAGTGACAATACCACTCCCCATTCTCATCGTTACTGCTCTCTCCATTAAAACTGTGCCCCCTGGTCACTGACTCCTTTGCTAACAGAAAGGATTTCTCCCTATCCACGTCCCTCAGAACTGTGTGCAGATCAATTGGGTCACCCCTTCAGCCTTCTCTGCTCTATGGACAACAACCTCAGTCTATCCAGTCTCTCTTCATATCTGACTGTCTCCAGCCCAGGCAATCCTGGTGAATCTCCTCTGCATTCTCTCTAGTGCAATCACATCCTTCTCATTGCATGGTGACCAGAGCTGTATACAGTATTCATTATTTTTTTTACCTATTTATTTGTGGGATGTGGGCGTCGCTAGCTGGCCAGTATTTATTGCCCATCCCTAGTTGCCCTTGAGAAGGTGGTGGTGAGCTGCCTTCTTAAACATCTGAAAATGTAATGTGAAATGTAGTCTTGTCTAATGATTTCTGGGATTCTCAATCATAATTAGCTCAGAAAGAGACTGCCCCACAACCAGCTCTTAGAGACACAGAACAGTTCGAACAGAAGGGCCCGGGTCCCTGCTGACCCAGGAATAACTGCTTATCTTGTTTCACACCCATCCCCCTCGTAATAATTTATATGAGTGACTTAGATGTGGAAAGTGAATGTGCTGTAGCCAGATTTGCAGATGACTCAAAAATAAGTAGAAGGCAGGTAGTGAGAATTACACAAAGAGTCTGCAGAGGGTGAAATGACTGGGTAAAAGTTTGTCAGATGGAGTATAATGTGGGAAGATGTGAGGTTGTGCACTTTGGCTGGAAGAATAGAGGAGCTGAACGTTATTTTGGTAGAGAAAGGCTGCAGAAAGATGTGGAACACAGGGATGAAATTTGTTAGTTTTCTGGAACAAGGAGCTAACCCTGGCCGAGTGTTGGCGCTTGGCACGTTCCAAGATCCAGGGCTACGTGCTGATGGACGCACTAAAGCTTGGGGCAGCTGCTGCCACGGGGCAGTGGGGAAAGACCTCTGTCTGAGATCTTCTTGCCGAAGTTAAATGTGGGTCAATTCAGTTATCGGACCCTCCTGATACCTGAATTATTTGTAACTGTAATCTTGTACAAGTAAGAGGTGCCTTTGATTTGTGTGGATAGAGTCAAACTCCAAATGTTTGTTTGTTTCCATGATATGCTACTGTACAGAATTGAACTGCATTTGTGACTATGTATATGTAAAGATATATTTTAAGAATAAAACATATTATTGAAATTAAAAATTTACAGAGGGAAGCATCAATCATAAAAAGCTAGCATCCATGTTCAGCAGAGAAGAGTCACTGAACTTGAAACGTTAACTCTGTTTCTCTGCGTAGATGCTGCCAGACCTACTGAGTTTCTTCAGCAATTTCTATTTTTGTTTCTGCTTTCAGCATCAGCGGTTCTTTGTTTTACTTCTCTCAACCTTCTTGGGGTCAGAGATGGGAGAAGTTTGTATATAGACCCCAAGCGGTAGTGGTTTACTGGTAACATTGGGGCAGGAATTAAACTGGAAGTTAGAGATGTAAGAAATACAGGTACAGCTCTAATTATGGGCAAATTTAATCTGCACATGGGTTGGGCAAATCACATCCGTGGGAATGCCACAGAGGAGGAATTCCTGGAGTCTGTACCAGATGCTTTTCTGGATCAATATATTGAAGAACCAACTAGAGAACATGTGATCCAAGGAAGTGTCTAATGAGAACGTGATAATTGGCAATCTAGCTGTGTGAGGCCCCTCAGGGACAAATGGTCATTTTGTTTTCCTCAGGCCGTAAGATATAGGAGCAGAATGACACCATTCTGCCCATCGAAGTCTGCTCCACCATTTGATCATGGCTGATACGTTTCTGAACCCCGTTCTCCTGCCTTCTCCCCTTCCCTCTTGATCCCCTTACTAATCAGGAACCTATCTATCTCTGTCTTAATACAACAACTTGGCCATCATAGCCTTCTGAGTTCCAGATTCACCACCTTCTGGCTGAAGAAATTCCTCCTTATGTCAGTTCTAAAGCATTGTCCCTTCACTCTGAGGCTGTGTTCTTAGGACTAAGTCTCTCCTACTCATGAAAACATCTTCTCCACATTCACTCAATCCAGGCCTCTCAGTATTCTATAAGTTTCAATGGGATCCTCCCCTCATCTTTCTACACTCCATTGAGTACAAACTCAGAGTCCTCAACTGCTCCTCATATGTCAAGCCCATCATCCCTGGGATCCTTCTTGTAAACCTCCTCTGGACTGCCTTTAATGCCAGCACATCCTTCCTTAGATACAGGGCCCAAAAATTGCTCACAATATTCCACATGCAGTCTGACCAGAGCTTTATGCACACGTAGCAGTACATCTTTACTCTTGTATTCTAACCCTCTTGAAATGAATGCTAACGTTTCATTTGCCTTCCTAACTGCTAACTGAATCTGTATGTTAACCTTAAGAGAATCCTCAACTAGGACTCCCAAGTCCCTTTGTGCTTCAGATTTCTGAAGCCTCTCCCTGTTTAGAATACAGTCTGTCCCTCAACTCTTCCTACCAAAATACATAACCTCACACTTTCCCACATTGTATGCCATCTGCCACTTCTTTGTCCACTCTCCCAGTCTGTCCAAGTCCCACTTCCTCATCACTACCTGACCCTCCACCTAGCTTTGTGGCAGCTGCAAATTTAGAAACAATGTTCTCAGTTCCTTTGTGCAGATCACTAACATATAATGTGAATAGTTGTGGTCCCAACACTGACCCCTGTGGAACTCCACTAGCCACCAGCTGCCATCCTGAGAAAGACTCCTTTATCCCTACTCTCTGCCTTCTGCCAGCCAGCCAATCCTCTATCTATGCCAGTGCCTTGCCCCTAAGGATACGGAGTAGGCCATTTAGGATTGAGATGAGGAGAAATGTCTTCACCCCAAGAGTGGTGAGCCTGTGGAATTCACTGCCGCAGAAAATGACTGTGGCTGAAACATTGACTGTTTCCAATAAGGAATTGGATATAGTTCTTAGGGAAAAATAGTTTGGGGAGAAAGCAGGAACAGGGGGCTGAGTAGGATGATCAGCCGCAATCATATTGAATGGCCTACTACTATTCCTATTTTGTATGTTTCCACTCCTCTCTAAGTTTTGGAATTGTTCTGATGTTTTTGACTCCCTCCCAGGACGAATGGGAAAATCAAAAGGATGTCATTTGTCTGATGCAGTTTATTGACTGTTGTATTTTTCTGTAGGAAGTGACAGAGCGCTATTGACAGTGAATGCACCGATGAGTGTAAATGGAACAGCTGGAAGTGCTGTCATCCTGCCCTGCTATTTCACGTTCCCCTATACCAGCTACACTACCTTCGAGATTACAGTCATCTGGAAGATGGGGGTGTTTTATACAGGGACGGTTCTCTTCAACGCAACAAACAGAGCCAAGGGCCAAGAGGAATTTGAAAATGTTGTTCACACAAACATCAATGACCGGTACAGACTGGCCGGGGACCCCAGGATTAATGATGCTTCAATCAAGATAAGAGAGGCCAGGCTCGATGACACCAATGAGTATTTCTGTCGTGTGGAAGTCAAACGTCCAGCATTACCTGCTTACATGAAGGAAAACAACCTTGGGACCGTCTTGAAAATAACAGGTAAATTCAACCAGACTCTAACTTACAGGGTCGGGGTGTGATGGGTTGAGTTGGACCCACCTTCGGTCTGACGGATGGGTATGTCCCTTGCCATTGGCTCCTGTCACACGATGCGACACTCTTGGACATGTTTTACTGGGTGGATGGTGCTCAATAAACATAATTTGTTGTTGTACCATAACTTTACCTCTGCGACCCCACGAAGAGCCCATTGGCTCCCCCCCCCCCACTCCTGTTGCCACCCCCTTAGTTGGCATCTTATTGTGCATTCGGGAATCTGTGCTTTGCTTCCCCCACCCCCCTCGGGACATGGATGGCACCCAGCTCTATCTTGCCATCGACAGTCTCTTGTCCGTTCCATTGTGTTGCTCAGTGGTTCACACCTGTCCATCAGGAGGCACCATTTCTCCCGGTTAAATATTGGGAGGTGAGTTGAGAGTCTTAGCTACTGTCTGCAGCTAAATCTCATCATTGATGTCCTCCTTCAGTTCCCAGCCTAGCTTCCAAACCCCCTCCCCACATTCTCCCCAAAGGCCTGTCCCCACTTCCGTTGGCCCATTTGTTGCTGGAACCCAAAAACACTCGCTTCCACACCTGCCTATCCCAGAACTCTCCGGGCTGACTTCATCCCTGATCCCCCCTACATCATCAACCTCAACTCATCAGTCACAATGAGCCGCGGAGCCACTTTCCATGCTGTGAAAAACTCTACGACTTCCTTCAATGTAATTAAGCCACAACTTCCTCCTGGATGGCTGTGAGAGAATGTCTGATTCATGAGAAGTGGCTGACTGAGTTACAGCCATGTGATATCTCAACAGACTATACAACACTGGTCAGTGCTACTCAGGCTGAGTGTTGTTTTCATTCTTGATGAAATTTGGGCTTCAGTGGTGAGGCCAGCATTGCTTGTCCGTCCCTAATTACCCTCGCACTGCTCAGGTAAGAGTCAGCCACATTGCTGTGGGTCTGGAGTCACATGGAGGTAAGGGTGGCAGTTTTGCTTCTCCAAAGGACAGGAGTCAATAATAGTGACCATTTTTGAGATTAATTTTCTGCTTTGTTAATTGACTTGTACCAGCTGCCGAACTGGGTTTTGAACCCGTTAGCATTAGCCCGGCTCTCTGGATTACTAGTTCAATGACATAGAGGCACAGAGGTTTACAGCATGGAAACAGGCCCTTCGGCCCAACATGCCCATGCAGCCCAGTTTTCACAATTAGTCTAGTTCACCTTGTTTGGCCCATACCTATCCCATCCATGTACTTGTCCAAATGTTTCTTAAATGACAAAATGGTACTTGTCTCCACCACTGCCTCTGGCAGTCCATTCCAGATATACACCACCTGCTTTGTGAAAACATTGCCTCTGAACCCTTTTATATCTCTCCACTCTCACCTTAAATCTATGCCCTCTAGCTTTGGACTCCCCTACCATGGGGAAAAGATGTTGGCTACCTTATCTATGCCTTTCATGATTTTATAGACCTCTATGAAGTCACCCCTCAATCTCATACGCACCAGGAAAACAAGGCCCAACCTGTCCAGCCTCTCCTTATAACTCAAACCCCAACCTTAAAAAGTAGGTCCTCGAGGGTAGGAATATCTGGATTATTCCTGGTGCTGCTAGCTAGTGCGGGTAGGAATAGAAGGACAGAGTAGATGAATGTGTAGCTGAGGAGCTGGTGGAGGGGAGAAGGATTCACATTTTCGATCATTGGACTCTCTTCTCGGGTAGAAGTGACCTTGTTTAGGAAGCACAGATTGCACCTGAATTGGAAGGGGACTAATATACTGGTGGGAACGTTTGCTAGAACTGCTCATGAGGATTTAAACTAGTAAGCGGGGGGGACCCAGGGAGACAGTGAGGAAAGAGGTCAATCTGAGAGTGGTACAGTTGGGAAAAGGAGTAAGTCAAACAAACAGAGCAGGCAAAAACAAAGAGGTAGGACTGATCAATTAAACTGCATTTATTTCGATGCAGGAGGCCTAACAGGTAAGGCAGATGAACCCAGGGCATGGTTGGGAACATGGGACTGGGATATCATAGCTGTTACAGAGACGAGGCTCAGGGATGGATAGGACTGACAGCTTCATGTACTATTAGAAGAATCAAAAGGGGAGGTGATGGCCTAGTGGTATTATCACTGGACCATTAATCCAGAGACCCAGATAATGTTCTGGGACCTGGGTTCGAATCCTGCCATGGCAGACAGTGGAATTTGAATTCAATAAAAATATCTGGAATTCACAATCTAACGATGACTGTGCATTCATTGCTGATTGTCAGGAAAAACCCATCTGGTTCACTAATGCCCTTTAGGAAAGGAAACTGCCATCCTTACCTGGTCTGGTCTACATGTGACTTCAGACCCACAGTAATGTGGTTGACTCTGTATTGCCCTTGGGGCAATTATGGGTGGGCAATGAATGCTACCTGGCCAGAGACACCCTCATTCTGTTAATGAAGAAAGGAGGGGGAGTGATGTTTTTGATTAGGGATAACATTACGGCTGTATCTAGGGAGGATATTTCTGGGAATATGTCCAGGGAGGTTATTTGGGTGAGAAATAAGAATTGATGATCACCTTATTGAGATTGTACTATAGACACTCCCCCGCAATAGTCGGTGGGAAATTGAGAAACAGATTTGTAAGGAAATCTCAGTTATCTGTAAGAATAATAGGGTGGTTAAGGAAGGGGATTTTAACTTTCCAAACATAGACTGGGATTGCCATAGCATTAAGGGCTTGGATGGAGAGGAATTTGTTAAGTGTGCACAAGAAAATTTTCTGATTCAGTATGTGGATGTACCGGCTAGAGACGGGGCAAAACTTGACCTACTCTTGGGAAATAAGGCAGGGCAGGTGGCTAAGGCGTCAGTGAGGCAATTGACCCTAATTCTGTTAGCTTTAAGATAGTCATGGAAAAGCATTGACTGATCTAAAAGTTAAAGCTTTAAATTGGATTGAGGCCAATTTTGACGGTATTAGGCAATAACTTTCAAAAGTTGATTGGAGGAGGATGTGGAAGGGATGACTGGAAAATGGGAAGCCTTCAAAAATGATATAACGAAAGTCCAGAGACGGTATGTTCCAGATAGGGTGAAGGACAAGGCTGTTGGTGTAGTGAATGCAGGATGACTAGAAAAATTGAGGCTTTAGTCAAGAGTAAGAAGGGAGTATGTGTCACGTATAGAGAGTGAATCCCTAGAGGAGTATAAGGGCAGTAGGAATATCCTTAAGAGGGAACTCAGGAGGGCAAAAAGGGAACATGAGATAGCTTAGGCAAATAGGGTTGAGGAGAATCTGAAGGGATTCTACAAATACATGAAGGACAAAAGGGTAATTAGGGAGAGAATAGGGGGCCCTTAAAGATCAGCAAGGCTGCCTATGTGTGGAACCACAGGAGATGGGGAAGATACTAAACAAGTAATTGGCATCATTGTTTACTGTGGAGAAGGATATGGAAGATAGACAATGTGGGGAAGTAAATAGCGACAAATGAAAAATGTCCACTTAGCAGAGGAGGAGGTGCTGGACTTCATAAAATGCATAAAGTTGGATAAATCCCTGGGACCTGACCAGGTGTACCCTAAAACTCTGTGGGAAGCTAGGGAAGTGATTGCTGGGTCCCTTTCTGAGATATTTGTACTATTGATAGCCATAGGTGAGCTGCCGGAAGACTGGAATTTGGCTGATGTGGTGCCACTATTTAAGAAAGGTGGTAAGGAAAAGCCAGGGAGCTATAAACCGGTAAGCTTGATATCAGTGTTGGGCAAGTTGTTGGAGGGGATCAGAGGGACAGGATTTACATGTATTTGGAAAGTCAAAGACTGATTAGGAATAGTTAACATGGCTTTGTGCATGGGAATTATGTCTCACAAAAGTGATTGAGTTTTTTGAAGAAGTAATAAAGAGGATTGATAAGGGAAGAGCGTTAGATGTGATCTATATGGACTTCAGTAAGGCGTTTGACAAGGCTCTGCATGGTAGACTGGTTAGCAAGGTTAGATCACACGGAATACAGGGAGAACTAGCATTTGGATACAAAACTGGCTTGAAGGTAGAAGACAGAGGGTGGTGGTGCAGGGTTGCTTTTCAGACTGAGGCCTGTGACCAGCAGTGTGCTACAAGGATCAGTGCTGGGTCCACCGCTTTTTGTCATTTATTTAAGTGATTTGGATGTGAACGTAGGAGGTATGGTTAGTAAGTTTGCAGATGACATCAATTTGGAGTTGTAGTGGACAGTGAAGAAGGTTACCTCCGAGTACAACGAGATATTGATCAATGGGCCAATGGGCTGAGGAGTGGCAGATGAAGTTTAATTTAGATAAATGTGAGGTACTGCATTTTGCAAAGGCAAATCAGGGCAGGACTTATACACTTAATGGTAAGGTCCTGGGGAGTGTTGCTGAACAAAGAGACTTTGGAGTAAGATTCATAGTTCCTTGAAAGTGGTGTTGCAGGTAGATAGGATAGTGAAGAAGGTGTTTGGTACGCTTGCCTTTATTGGTCAGTGCATTGAGTGTAGGAGTTGGGAGGTCATGTTGCGGCTGTACAGGATATTGGTTAGGCCACTTTTGGAATACTGTGTGCAATTCTGGTCTCCCTGCTATAGGAAGGATGTTGTGAAACTTGAAAGGGTTCAGAAAAGATTTACAAGGATGTTGCCAGGATTGGAGAGTTTGAGCTGTAGGGAAAGGCTGAACAAACTGGGGCTATTTTCCCTGGAGTGTCGGAGGCTGAGGGGTGACCTTATAGATATTTATAAAATCATGAGGGGTATGTTTAGGATAAATAGACAAGGTCTTTTCCATGGGGTGGTGGAGTCCAAAACTAGAGGCCATAGGTTTAAGGTGAGAGGGGAAAGATTTAAAAGAGACCTAAGGGGCAACTTTTTCAGGCAGAGGGTGGTGCGTGTATGGAACAAGCTGCCAGAGGAAGTGGTGGAGGCTGGTATAATTACAACATTTAAAAGGCATTTGAATGGGTACATGAATAGGAAGGGGTTAGAGGAATATGGGCCAAATGCTGACTATATTTATTTCAGGTATCTGGTTGGCATGGATGAGTTGTACCGAGGGGTCTGTTTATGTGCTGTATATCTCTTTGAATCATTCTGCCACCATCTCACTGTGAACTTCTGCTGCCACAATTGTGTTTCTTAGCCAGGTTCCTCTGTATCTCTGTAACATCCTCAGCTTTGTGTTTAACACCCTATTCAATCCACACCTTATTTATTGTACATAATATTCATGCCACACAAATGCCAGGCAATGACCATCTCCAAGAAGAGAGACTCTAACCATTGCCCTTTGACATTCAATGATATTTCCATCATCATCAATTATCCTACGGTCATCAATTATCCTACGGTTATCATTTATCAAAAAACTGAACCAGCCATATAAATACAGTGGCTACAAGACCAGATCAGAGGCTAGGGGTTCCACAGTGGGTAACCCTCCTCCTGACTTCCCAAAGTCTGTCTACCATCTACAAGGCACAAGTCAGGAGTGTGATGGAATACTCCCCACTTGCCCAGATGGGTGCGGCTCCCGTGATACTACTTCAGCATCTGACTAACCCGAGTGCAACACATTTGCACCAAAATCCCAGTTATAATCCAAGTTGAACAATGATTGAATTGAGTGTTCTTGTTTTGCTCCTATGTTCTACCCTGGGAGCCGGTCTGATTCCATCTGGAATTCCCTCTTTGAAGACCTCGATGTCCGCCTTATCCTTCAAGACTTTCTTGTACAATCAATAATGTAATTCCTGAAATGTGGTCAGGGTTCGGGCAAAACAGCAGCCAATTTGTACGCAGCAAGCTCCCACAAATCATTCACAACTTCATGAACTGTGTTGGTGATCTTGATGGAGGAATAAATAGAGATGGGAAGAGCAGGCAGGATTCTCCCACTCTCCTTCAAAAGGTGGTTGTGAGATTCTTTATGTGCACCCGAGAAGATAGACTGGGATTTCATCCGAGAGGTGGCACCATCGACAGTGCAGCACTCGTTTGGTACTGCCCTGTGCATGTGTACCATCTCTGTTCAGAGTCAGGCTGAAGTATCGCCTTCATATTATTCCCTTTCAGTCTCCCACATAATGTCAATCACATGCTTCCTCAGGGAGTCACCCTGAGAGTTTCTGTCTGACTTTATAAATGTGACATTGATGCATTAACCACAAGCTCTAGTCATGACTCAACAGCGATGACCGTGCGCCAGTGCCTTGCATTTTTTTTATTCATTCACAGGATGGGGGCGTCGCTGGCTAGGCAGCATTTATTGCCCATCCCTAATTGCCCAGAGGGCAGTTCAGAGTCAGCCACATTGCTGTGGGTCTGGAGTCACATGTAGGCCAGACCAGGTAAAGATGGCAGTTTCCTTCCCTAAAGGACCTTAGTGAACCAGGTGGGTTTTTCCAACAATCAACAATGGATTCATGGTCATCATTTGACTCTTAATTCCAGATTTTTTTTTTATGGAATTCAAATTCCACCATCTGCCATGGTGCAATTCGAACCCGGGTCCCCAGAACATTATCTGGGTCTCAGGATTAACAGTCCAGCGATAATACCACTAGGCCATCGCCTCCCCTAAATTTAACTGAATGATCAATCCTCTCTCTTTTCAGGCCCACCTATCATCTTCAACGTATCTATCCAGGTCATCAATGGTACGCAGTTTACCCTGGTGTGCCATGTTCAAGGAGAGCCCTCTCCACACATCATGTGGGTCGACCCCCAGGACCATAGACTCCCTGTGAACGCCAGTGATACACCGGTTGTACGAGGCCCAGGGCAGTATCAGGTTGTGGGGGAGCTACGTGACCCGACGCTGGGAGGGAACTACACCTGTGTGGCCTCCAACAGCCTTGGCAATGCCACTCAAGTTATCTACTTCACCAGCTCGAATGAGGACTGGTCAATGCTCAAAGTAATAATCGGCGTCTTGGTTGGAAGCCTCGTTCTGATTGTCCTGATTGTTGTTGCCCTTGCAATCTGGAGGAGAAGGACAGGTAGGTTATTGTAATTTAACAGCTGGGGATATTATAGTAGGCAGTTACATTGGGTTCACTCTGAAAATGTATGTGGTTTGGGGTGTCATGTAATATTACAAGGGACCAGGGACTTCCCACCTCAAGTTACACAAGAATCTTCAAATCAAAAGGGGAGGGAACAACAAAGAAAAAGGAAAAGAGAGAGAGAGGCTGAGTCCAGATGGGAGTGGCTTGGAGGGGAACTTGTAGGGGATGGTATTCCCATGTACCTGCTGCCCTAGAGTCGTAGACTCATACAGCACGGAAACAGACCCTTCGGTCCAACTCATCCATGCCCACCAGCTTTCACAAACTACATTAGGCCCACTTGCCTGCGTTTGGCCCGTATCCCTCTAAATCTTTCCTTTTCATGTAGCTGTCCAAATGTCTTTTAAATGTTGTAACTGAACCTGCATCCACCACTTCCTCTGGCAGTTCATTCCACACTCAAACCACCCTCTGTGTGAAAAAGTTGCTCCTCATCCCTTTTAAATATTTCTCCTCCCATCTTAAAGTTATGCCCTACCCTACGGAAAAAACCTTTGTTATTTGCCTTATCTATTCGTGATTTTATAAACCTCTATAAGTTCACCCCTCCAACACTGCAGGTAAAAAAAATCCCAGCCTAGCCAGGATCTCCCTACAACTCAAACCCTGCAGTCCCTGCAACATCCTTGTAAATCTGTTCTGCACCTTCTCAAGTTTAACAATACCCTTCCTATAGCAAGGCAACCGGAACCGTACACAGTATTCCAAAAATGGCCTAACCAAAGTTCTGTGCAACCGCAACATGACCTCCCAACTCCTGCACTCAGTACCGTGAACAATGAAGGCAAGCATACCAAACGCCTTCTTCACCATCCTGCCTACCTGGGACGCCACTTTCAAGGAACTATGTCTCTATTCATTTGTGAGATGTGAGTGCCACTGGCTGGCCAGCATTTCTTGCCCATCCCTAGTTGCCCTTGAGAAGGTGGTGGTGAGCTGCCTTACTTGAACCACTGCAGTTCTCCTGCTGTGGGTTGACCCACAATGCATTTCTTTGAGGCTTTGTAGTGATTGGTACAACGGAGTGGCTTGCTAGGCCATTTCAGAGGGCACTTGAGAGTCAACCACATTGCTGTGGGTCTGGAGTCACATGTAGGTCAGACCAGGTGAGTGGTGACAGATTTCCTCCCCTGATGGACATTAGTGAACCGGATGGGTTTTTCTGACAATCGGCAATGATTTCATGGTGATCAGTAGATTCTTATTTCCAGACATTTTTGTTCTAACTATTGAATTCAAATTCCACCATCTGCCATGGTGGGATTCGAACCTGGGTCCCCAGAACATTAACTAAGTTTCTGGATTAACAGTCTAGCAATATTACTACTAGGCTATCGCCTACCCCCAAGTACCTGAACCTCTGGGTCTCTCTGTTTGACAACACTCCCCAGGGCTCTACCATTAACTGTGTAAGTCCTGCCCTGGTTTGCCTTAAAAAAGTGTAACATCTAAATTAAATCTAAATTAAACTCCATCTGCCACTCCTCAACCTATTGGCCCAGCTGATCAAAATTCATTTGTACTCTTAGATAACCTTCCTGACTGTCCACTATATCACCAATTTTGGCGTCATCCCGCAAACTTATTAACCATGCTTCCTATATTCTCATCCAAATTGTTTATATAAATGACAAATAACAGTGGACCCAGCACCCATCTCTATGGAGCACTGCTGGTCATGGGCCACCAGTGTGAAAAACAACTTTCCACCACCACCCTCTGTCTCCTACCATCAAAAAAAATTTTGTATCCAATTGGCAAGCTCTCCCTGAATCCCATAACTTTATGAATCAGTCTGCCATGCGGAACCTTGTCAAAGGTTTTACTGAAGTCCATGTAGACAACATCTACCGCTCTGCCCTCATCTATCTTATTGGTCATTTCCTCAAAAGACTCGATCAAGTTTGTGAGACACAGTTTCCCACGCACAAAGCCATGCTGACTATCCAAATGCATGTAAATCCTATCTCTCAGAATCCCCTCCAACTACTTACCCACCACTGATGTCAGACTCACCGGTCTATAGTTCCCAGACTTTTCCTTACAGCCTTTCTTAAATAAAGGCACATCATTAGCCAGCCTCCACTCTTTTGGCACCTCACTAGTAGCTGTAACTGATACAAATATCTCAGCAAGGGGGCCCATAATTTCTTCCCTAGCTTCCCACAACATCCTGGGATACACTTGATCAGGTCTTGCCTTTCTGTTGGAAGTGGGTTTGGAAGGTGATGTCTAAGAAGCCTTCATGACTTTCTGCAACACATCTTGTAGCTAATATATATTGCTACTTCTAAGCATTGGCGATGGAAGGAGTGGATGCTTGTGGATGTGGTTCCAATCAAGTCTTTGTCCTGGATGGTGTCAAACTTCTCGAGTGTTGTTGGAGCTGCACCCATCCAGGCAAGCGGTGAGCATTCCATCATACTCCTGACTTGTGCCTTGTAGATGTTGGACATGTTTTGGGAAGTCAGAGGCTGATTTACTCACTGCAGTGTTCCTCACCTCTGACCTGCTGTTGTAGCCACTGTGTTTATGTGGCAAGTCCATCTATAAACATTCAAACGAGACAGTTTCCCAAACAAATTATTGACATTATAGTGAGAGCCTGCTAACTGAAATGTTTCAAATATTTCGTCCTTTTTTCCTTCTTTCCAGGAATTTTGGATTTTACCCCACAGAGAGAAAGGTATGATTCAGTTTTCTGTTATTAAACATGGTGCTACATTTTTGTAAAATGGTTTTGTTCTAACAACTTGTGTCAAAGAAATCTTTAATTGTGATATCCACCTCAAATTGAGACCAGCTCACCAGGAATTTGCAAATTACTTACACCATTTCACATGGAAAAAGTATCTTTCCATTCTTAGCACTGTAAACTTTAGTGGATTCTAAGGTTTTGGAGTAGATTTGTAGCTCGTGTTGTGGTTGGTTGGCTCACCGAGCTGGTTTGTTGTTTCGCAGACGTTTCATTACCCTGCTGGGTAACATCATCAGTGCAGCCTCCAATGAAGCACCGTTGTGTTTTCCCGCCTGGTATTTAAACTCTGAGGTCTGTTGAGCTGGATTACCTCATTTCCGGTTTTCCTTCACGGTGGAGTATATATAGGGTCTAGCTCTATGTATTTGTTGATGGCTTTCTTCGTGGAGTACCAGCCACAACTTTAGTGGATTGCCTTACGAGGAGAGGCTGGACAGGCCAGGCCTGTATCCTCTGGAGCTCAGAAGAGTCAGAGATGACTTAATTGAAACATTCAAGATCCTATGGGATTTGACTGGCTGGATGTTGAAAGGATGTTTCCTCTTGTGGGAGAATTTAGAACGAGGGGTTTTTGTTCAAAAATATGGGGTGGCCCATTCAAAACAGAGATGAGGAAACATTTTCCCTCTCAGAAGGTTGTGAGTCTTTGGAATGCTCCTCCTTATAAGGCAGTGGATGCAGAATCATTAAATATTTTTAAGGCAGAGGTAGATAGATTGTTGATCCGGGATATGCAGGAATGTAGAGTTGAGGTTAGACTCACTCACAGAGCCCATGTGACCTATCTGTCACCAAGATCCCTGCTTTCTGCTGGAAATGCCATGGACAGTGCATGATCCGTGGAATGTCATGGATACTGCCTGATCAGTTGCTGAAATTGTAACCACACCTACCTCCTGTCCAAGGGATCATTGGGACCTTTTGGGTCCCAGGAGCCCTCTGTGAGCTCTGGAAACATAGAAAACTTGAGCAGTAGGAAACCATTCAGCCACATACCATGTGATCCCTTCAGTTCTAAGACCTATATCCAACTCCTTCACCAGAACATTCAATCATTTGGCCTCAACCACTTTCTGTGGCAGAGAATTCCACAGGCTCACAACTCGCTGGGTGAAGGGGTTTTTCCTTGTCTCAGTCCTAAATGGCCTACCCCATATCCTTAGACTGTGACCCTGGACTCCCTGTTCATCAGGAACATGCTCTCTGTGTTTACCCTGTCTAATCCTGTCAGAATTTTATAGGTTTCTATGAGATTGATTGATTTTGATTTTATTGTCATGTGTTTTCAAGTACAAACGTACAGGAGCCCAGTGAAAAGTCACCACACAACGCACCATCTTCGGTACAAGTACCTAGGTACAGAATCTTAAGAACAGGGTAGAAAGAAAGATCAAAGTTAAACATTGCAGTACATTATAGTACAGTGACAGTACAGATCTGTCCCCCAAACCCTGTCATTCTTATAAACTCCAGTGAATATAATTCTAACCGATCCAGTCTCTCTTCATATGTCAGCCCTGCCAGAGGAATCAGTTTGATCAATCTTCATTGCACTCCTTCCATTGCTAGAACATCCTTCCTCAGAGATGTACCCACTCACTGGGCTTCCTGGTCACACCCACAGTCAACTCGACACAAGGATGCCCAGCTCCATTTTCTGCCAGTGCTAGGAAACCTGCTTTTTGGAGGTTGGACAGGGATACGGAGGTATCTGTTATTGTTACTCTCCCTATGTCCTCACTGCCGACTGGACAGGAGCATTCAGCCCCAGGAATCTCATCCTGGTTTGGGAATCTGTTGCATGCCTCTCACTTCCCCATCTCTCTGACCTTCGTTAGTGTTGCAATCTCCTGAGACCTCTCCCAGAGGGGAGCTGAATGCCCCGCCCTCTCTCTCACCACCACCCCCTCTCTCACCACCGTCCCCTCTCTCTTCCAGCTGCCTGAGTCTCTGAGCTGCCGAAATCCCTGCTGAACCACATCTTCCAACCACCCAAACACCACCCCCACCATCCCCACCCCTACTCCCTCACCAACAACCTGCCTGCTCCATGTGACCAGGTTTTCATGATTAACTTAAATAAAATTCTGCAGATGCTGGAAACATGAATCACAAATAGAGAATACTCGAGAAACTCAGTGGGTCTGGCAGCAACAGTGGAGAGAGAAACAGAGTTAATGTTTCATGCCCTGTAAATTGCTTCTACTGCGTGTCTGTGTGTGTGTTTGTGTGAGAGTGGGTGTGTGTGTCTGACATAAAGATAGGTGGAGGGGCAGGTAGTATTGAGGAGGTGGGGAGGCTGTAGAAGGATTTAGACAGGTTAGGAGAGTGGGTAAAGAAGTGGCAGATGGAGTACAATGTGGGAAGGTGTGAGGACATGCACTTTGGTAAAAAGAATAAAAGCATGGACTATTTTCTAAATGGGGAGAAAATTCAGAAGTCTGAAGTGCAAAGAGACTTGGGAGTTCTGGTCCAGAATTCTCTCAAGGTAAACTTGCAGGCTGACTGAGTAGTTAGGAAGGCAAATTCAACTTTGGCATTTATTTTGAGAGGACTTGAATATAAAAGCAGGGATGTACTACTGAGGCTCCGGTCAGGCACATTTGGAGTATTATGCACAGTTTTGGGCCCCTTATCTCAGGAAAGGTGTACTGACCCTGGAGCGGGTTCAGAGGAGGTTCACGAGAAAGGTCCCAGGAATGAAAAGTTTAACATATGAGGAAAATTTTGAGGACTCTGGGTCTATACTCGATGGAGTTTAGAAGGATGAGGGGGATCTAATTGAAACTTACAGAATACTGAATGGTCTGGACAGAGTGGATGTTGGGAAGATGCTTCCATTGGTAGGAGAGTCTAGGACCCGAGGGCACAGCCTTGGAGTAAAGGGAAGACCTTTTAGAACAGAGATAAGGAGAAACATCTTCAGCCAGAGAGTGGTGAATCTATGGAATTCACTGCCACAGAAGGCTGTGAGGCCAGGTCAGTGAGTATATTTCAGACTGAGATAGATAGGTTCTTGATTATCAAGGGGATCAAGAGTTACGGGGAGAATGGGGTTGAGAGACTTATCAGCCATGATTGAATGGCAGAGCAGACTCAATGGGCTGAATGGCCTAATTTCTGCTCCTATGTCTTATGGTGTGCGTGTACGTATGTGTGTGTGTGTTTGCTTGTGTGTGTGTATCAGAGTGTGCATGTGTGTGCGTGTGAGAGAGAGAGAGAGAGAGTGTGTGCCTGTCTGTGTGTGTGTGTGAGAGTGTGTGTGTTTGACATGGCGAGGGGGAGATATAGTTCATCAGAAGGAGCATGATGCTTGTGACAAGAGCCAGCATGTTCTGAAGGAGCGTCAGACTGGATCTGAAGCGTGAACTCTGTTTCCGTCTCCACAGACACTGGAGGGTTTCTCCACCACTTTCTGTTTCCATTTCAGAATTAGCTCAGTTAGTGGTTCAGCATTCATTGGTTCTGACTATAACTTTGTGAAATGACTTACGGTGCTTTTCTGCATGATATAAATACAACGCCTGTGTGTTCACGCTCTGACACAGTCAGAAAGTCCTGTGTGTCTCTGGATGACTAAAGATGAATGCTTGATATGACAATGGATTTGGTGAGACTTTACCATGAATATTATGTCTCTCCATCACAGTAGTTATTGTCCAATTTGAATATTGTCTTAATAAGTACAAATTTCTTCTTATCTCTTAGATGCCCACCTGATTCATCCAACTATTGTAAAGTGAAACAGTGTCAGAAAAAATCAACACCAGGTAATGACTGTCACAGTGAATGTAACTGTTCAAGACAGGTTCCAATATACGGCTCAAGAACCTGGTATTGTTCTCATCAGGCCTTCAGATTGAAGGTGATGCTGTTTTAGCATGGGGAAGCTGTTGCATTGCTGCTGTCTCTGAACTTAGCAGGAGCCTCTGCCTCTCCCTTGCTGCCTGCAATATCAGGATTTACACATTGAACAGCTTTCCTCTCGTGGCCAAGTTCAGTGGGTAATAGAGAAGGCTAATGGGATGTTGGCCTTAATTTCAAAGGGAATGGAACAGAAAAACGTGGAGGTTTTGCTCAAACTATACAAGGCATTAATGAGATCACAGCTGGAATTCTGTGAACAGTTTCAGGACCCTCATCTAAGGAGCAATACCCTGGCATTGGAAGCAGCCCAGAGAAGGTTCACTGGTTTGATCCTGGGGATGAAGGAAAGGTCTTATGAGGAAAGGTTGGGTAGGTTAGGCATTAGATTTATTGCTATTCACTCATAGGACATGGGCATCGTTGTCTGGGCCCAGCATTTCTTGCCCGTCTCTACTTGCCCCTTGAGAAGGTGGTGGTGAGCTGCCTCCTTGGGAAGATGTTGGAGTGTGGAAGAATGAGAGGTGATCTTGTTGAAACATACAAGATTCTCAAAGGACTTGACAGGGTAGATGCGGAGAGGTTGTTTCTCCTTGTGAGAGGGTCTAGGACCACAGGGTATAATCTCAGAATAAGGGGTCACACTTTTAAGACAGAGATGAGCGGGAATTTCTTCTCTCAGAGGGGAGTGATTCTGTGGAATTCTTTACCACAAAAGAGGGCTGTCAAGACTGGGTCATTAAGTATATACACAGAGTAATGTATCACGGAAACAGACCCTTCAGTCCAACATGTCCATGCCAACCAGACAATTCAGTCTGACCCAGTCCCATTTGCCAGCATTTGTCCCATACCCCTCTAAACCCTTCCTATTCATGTACCCATCCAGATGCCTTTTAAATGTTGTAATTGTACCAGCCTCCACCACTTCCTCTGGCAGCTCGTTCCATACACGCACCACCCTCTGTGTGAAAAGGTTACCCCTCAGGTCCTTTTTAAATATTTCCCCTCTTACCTTAAACCTATGCCCTGTAGTTTTGGACTCCCCCACCCTGGGGAAAAGACCTTGTCTATGCACCTTATCCATGCTCCTCATGATTTTATAAACCTCTATAAGGTCACCCCTTGGCCTCCGACGATCCAGGGAAAATAGCCCCAGCCTATTCGGCCTCTCCCCATAGCTCAAACCATCTAAGCCCGGCAACATCCTTGTTCCTTTTCTGCACCCTCTCAAGTTTAACAACATCCTTCCTATTCTTTGTATGGAAGGACCAGAGTTGCATGCAGTATTCTAAAAGTGGCCTCACCAACGTCCTGTACAGTCGCAACATGACCTCCCAACTCCTAAACTCAATGCATTGACCAATGAAGGCAAGCACACCAAACACCTTCTTCACTATCCTATCTACTTGCGACTCCACTTTCAAGGAACTGTGAACCTCCACTCCAAGGTCTCCTTGTTCAGCAACACTCCCCAGGATCTTACCATTTAAGTGTGTAAGTCCTGCCCTGATTTGCCTTTCCAAAATGCAGCACCTCACATTAGACAGATTTGTAAACAGTAAGAGAATAAAGGGTTATGGGGACAAGGCAGGAAAGTGAGTTGAGGATTATTAGGGCAGCTGAGACCTCATTGAATGACTCGATGGGCTGAATAGCCTCGTCCTGCTGCTATGTTTTATGGACGACCTGAGTCCTGGGGTGGAGTATAAACCTAGAGACACCAGATTTCCCCCCAGCCCGTCCCATACCTACGGGTGGTCTCCATAGAGTGGAGAGTTTAAGGAGAGATGCAATAAAGAGGTATTCAAAAGATTTAGGCTTTTTGAGCAAACACCCCATCTACCTGTGTCACTGTCAACATTTTCTGACCAGTTGTTCCAGGTCAAAAGTCACAGGGTTGGCCTTGGCATGGGTCATGTTTTCAGAAGTGTTGGCATGAGCGTGAGAGTGAATGAGAGCGTGAGAGTGAATGAGAGCGTGAGAGTGAATGAGAGCGTGAGATTGAATGAGAGCGTGAGAGTGTGAGAGTGAATGAGAGTGTGTGAGTGTGAGAGTAAATGAGAGTGTATTTGATTTTCAGTGGTAAAGTGCCCCCTGCTGTCTCGAAAGCTGAAGTGTTGACAAATTGATTTACATAGTTTTTTAACAATTTTCCAAGGAGGTGAATTCCCAGAAACCAGATTGACTGCTTCAGGTTCTGAGCCACATTAGTGTGCCAGGGATGTGGCTTTGTGGGAATATCCCACCTGCTCCAGAAATGGCACGTTAACAAGGTTAATTAACAATAATATCTACACCGCTGCCAATCTCTCAATGAATGTGCTGCTGTGCCAGTCCACTTTCTGCCCTCTCCCACTGCATCATTCCAGACTGTCGGCTCTCACCTTTCCAGCTGGAATAGTCTGCCCTCACTGTGATGTGGGTTTGATGGGGGAGGGCGGGGAGGGGGTGTGAGCCTTACTGCCCCCTCCCTGAGTCCCCAAACACAGCCAATAGAAACCTTCAAATAGCCCATTAAGGCTCCCTTAAGGTCCTCACCATGTCTCCAGTGGTAAACTCATTGGCCTTTCTTGAAGCTCCTCGGCTGGGTCAGGGATATGGGGGTGAAAGAGGGAGGGGCTCTTGTTTAAAGGTTCCACTCTCCTGCCTTTTCCCCATAACCCTCGACTCTCTTCCTGATTAAAAACAAAATCTGTACATCTCAGTCTTGAATACATTTAATGCCAGGATACTTTTCCTTAGATAAGGGACTCAAAATCTGTTCACAGTGTTCCAAGTAGTGCCTTGTATAGTTTTAGCAAAATCCCCCAACTTTTGTTCTCCATTCCCATGGAAATAAAAAAAAGCATTCCATCTGCCTCCTGTCAAACCTGGATGGTAACTCGTTGTGATTCATTCGGGTGGACTCCCAAACCCCTGTGTGATGCACCTTTCTCCATTTAAATAACGTACAATGCCTCTTCTTCCTGCCAAGGTCCCACTGTTTCCATCCCCCTCCCTCAGCCCTTTCCTAGTGTCACCAGCTTGACCCCCTTCTCAGTCTCAGGCCTCAGGTGGGCCTGCTGAGTATTGGAGAGATGTTCATAGAATATCCACAGTGCAGATAGAGGCCATTTGGCCCACCAGCTCTGTGCAGATCCTTTGAAGAGCATCCCACCCAGATCCATCCTATCCCTGTAACCCTGCATTTCCCATGGCTAATCCACCTAACCTGCATGCTCCCTGGACACTCCGGGACAATTTAGCTCGACCAATCCATCCTAACCTGCACATCTTTCGGACTGTGGGAGGGAACCAGAGCACTGGGAGGAATTTCATGCAGACACTGGGAGAACGTGCAAACTCCACGCAGACAGTCGCCTATGGGTGGAATCGAACCCGGGTCCCTGGGGCTGTGAGGCAGCAGTGCTAACCATTGAGCCACCGTGTTGGCTGCTGATTGGCTGGTTGCTCTCGGTGGGTGGGCCTTGTGCTGCCAAGATCCCTGCTCCTAGGAGATCACCCCTTCTACTGACCCCTTCACCCCCAACAGATGTAAACAGACCATTGTTTCAGGAGCCAGCAATGAGGATAGTGACTGGGGTATTTACTTGTCACTCTGTTTGGTTGGGAGTGGGGTTGTTGACTGGCTCCCTTGGCCAGGGTGTGATACAGAATAGTGCCAACAGCAATCCCTGTGCTAGTAGTTCACAGGTACCATGTTTTCAGAGTGAAGCTATATAGACCCAATGCACAGTTCACTTCCTTAGACAATGACAGTTCCTTCAGAAAATTCATAGAGCACAGAGCAGTACAGCACAGTACAGGCCCTTCGGCCCACGATGTTGTGCCGATCTTCTATCCTACTAAGATCAAACTACCCTGCACACCCTACGTTTTACTATCCCACCATGTGCCTATCCAAGAGTCGCTTAAATGTCTCTGACAATAGTTGGTGGAGGCAGTATATTCTGGAAGGAATCTTGGAGTAGAACGTAGCGGAAAGCAGACTGTGTAAACTAGAGTTTTATTCCACTGACAGATTATCTCCGGCTCTGAAGTTATTTCCTTCCCTTTTGCAGAGAACTCTAGCACTATTCTCGAGTCCCCAGAAGTCAGTAACTGCTAACTGGCAAGTTTTACTGCCTGCTGCCGCACCCTCAAACTTTGACCTCGCAGAATGCAACCAACTCCAGAAGCTGTGCCCTGAGGAAGGAGTCTGACCCTGTGTGAAGTGGCCGTCGATATTTTACACTCTCCTGTCTGCCGCCTCAACGTGAAGGACACAAGATTTCTGCTTTTGGATTGTCGCCAAGGTTACCTGCTGGCTGGTGTGGGATCTCGAACCTCACTGTGCAGACCAGAAGGTGTGAACACGATCCCACCCCCCTCCGTGTCATTCCTATCAGATGGGCATTTATTGGGCATTGATCGGAGATCCTGCTGGAGGGGGGTACCTTTTGGAACTGACTATCCAAGAGAAGACCATATTGCTATGAGTCTGGATTCAGGAGTTCCTTCCCTGAAGGACATTTGAGGACCAGTCCCCTTTTTTTATTTATGTGACTGCAACAGCTTATGGTCGTCTTATTAACACAAAATACTGTGGATGCTGGAGAGCTGAAACAAACACAGAGAATGCTGGAGAAACTCAGCAGGTCTAGCAGCATCCTTGGAGAGAGAAACAGCATTACCATTTTGAGTCCAGTCTCCCTTGTTCAGAACTTCTGGACTCGAGATATTAACTCTGCTTCTGTCTCCACAGATTCCAGCCTTGCCGTGTTTCTCCAGCTTTGTGGCCTTGCTTACTGTTAACTTTTTTATTTCCAGGTTGGACCAAATATTTTGGATTGATCTTCACTGGATTATCAGTACAGTGACATAACCCAATACCCCTGGATCCAGCCTTAGGTGTTGAGGGTTGTTAAGCTGTCTGATCACTGGAAACAGCAAACCTGTTAGATCTAGTTTTCCCGTTAACCCAGAACGAGTGGGATAAATCCCAGCTCCCGGGGCCAAGCGCTCACCAGGAGAACCTGTCAATCTGCTGGATTTTGGAATTTTCTGCATGTGCGGCCTCAGTTTTAGGCTCTCAAATGAACCAGAAATAACATGAGATTGTTGCAGTTCCTGACATATCCAGAAATGGGATGTGCAGCAGAAAGGCAGTGTTATAGAATCATGGAATTCCCACAGCAGACCATTCAGCCAATCAAATCCACACCAAACCTCCACAGAGCATCTCACCCAGACCCACACCCCCTTACTCTATCCCTGTAACCCTGCATTTCCCACGGCCAATCCACCCTAACCTGCACATCTTTGGACTGTGGGAGGAAACCGGAGCATCTGGAGGAAACCCCACGGATTCTACTATTTGTTTTATGTTGGGTGGTGATCTGAGAAAGTGGTGGGGAAATGGAATTGAAGTCCAGACCAACTACCATCTGATTGAGGGCTGAGTGGCTTCCTCCTGTTTCCGGGGATCTCACTGTTGCCAGGTTGGTACCTACAGAGGTGGCGGGGTGGGGTGGTGTCGGTGAACGGCCCAGTGTATGGCAAGTCCACTCGACGATGCAGAGTAGGCAGTGCAGCCCACCCCACCCCACTTCGTGCCTGGCCCATGATTCCATCAGATCGTGGAGGGTACACAGTTTACATGCCAGGCCAGGTCAGCAGTGCAGAGGGCAGCACACTGTCCCTCCCACCCCCATCATGATGTCTAGGTAATGGATGGATTCTGTATTAACAGTGCACCAGGAGAATCTATTCCCTCTCACGAACATCATGTTGAAGGACACAATATTTCCAAGATTTTTGGTTATTTGGTGACTCGGCTAAAGAAGGCTTAATCAGAGTGACTGGGGTATTTACTTGTCACTCTGTTTGGTTGGGAGTGGGGTTGTTGACTGGCTCCCTTGGCCAGGGTGTGATACAGAATGGTGCCAAACGCATGGGTTCAATCCCTGTGCTGGTAGTTCACAGGTACCATGTTTGCAGAGTGAACCTATATAGACCCAATGCACAGTTCACTTCCTTAGACAATGACAGTTCCTTCAGAAAATTCATAGAACATAGAACGTAGAACAGTACAACACATTACAGGCCCTTCAGCCCACGATGTTGTGCTGACCTATTATCCTAGTCTGAGATCAAACTACCCTGCATATCCTACATTTTACTATCATCCATGTGCCTGTCAAAGAGTTGCTTACATGTCCCTAATGTATCTGACTCCACTACCACCATCGGCAGCGCATCCTACTCACCCACCACTCTGGAGATTTTGAGCAGCACAGCTGGATCTCTACAGGATTACCCCACATTTACTCTGAAATGAGGCAATCTTTAATTCGGCTAACTCACGGACAAACTGAACTAGCCTCAATGAACTAAACTCCCTTGTAACAGCAAAATGGCCCAATGGGAGCATGTCGGGCCCATCATGGAGATGGAGACCATTCAGCCTGATGTACACTTGCCAGCTCTTCCTAATAAGATCGAAAGACTTGAAAAATATAAAGGAGCAAGCTATTGATCCTCTCGAGCCTGCTCTTGCCATTCAGACAGATCTGTGACTCTGCCCCCACTCTGGCCATCAGAAATCTGTCCAACTCAGCCTTAAATATAATCAGTGACCCCTGCTCCACTGCCCTTTGAGGACTGTCTGAGAGACGAAAGTCCTCCTCGTCTCAGTCTTAAATAGGTGATCCCGTCCTTTAAACTGCACACCCCCTCATTCTTGATTTCATCTCAAGAGAAAACATTCTGTCAGAAATCACCTGGTCAAACTCCCTCAGAATTGTCTGCAATTCAATAAAGTGGCTTTTCATTCTTCTAAACTTCAATGGACATCGGCCAGATCTACTCAACATTTCACTCCATCCCAGGAATCAGGCAAGTGAACCTTCTCTCTTGCTGTGAGTTTTAAAAGGGAGTTTGGGAATTTTTAATCATCCAAATTAATTTGGTCATGTTATATCACATGTCTAGAGTAGGTAAGACTTGAACACTGACCTTCTGACCAGATGCTACCACTGCGTTATTAGAGGCTGGTTTAAAAACTTCCTTTCCGGTGTTGGTGGGATAGCAGAGGATGGATTCAATCCATCAATCCCTGGATTATGCACCCAGCATACTCCTACTGGTCCATTTTGGATGCTTAGATCATTGAGGCTAGTCTCGTTTGTCTGAGTTAACCTAATTAAAGGTCTCAAATTAACCCTTCAAACGCTGTACCTCAGAGATGTTCAGGTTCAACATAGATATGTCACCACATGTGACTCAGGCACTGAATTCAAGTTTTAAAAACGCACTTACCGACCAGCAAAAAAAATTTCAGTAACGACGAATTACAGAAAGTTATAGTCTCAGGAATTGAAGGCAGGGCTTCAAGAAGTTATTTCTAGAAAATAGCATCAAGTGAATGTACAGAAAACAAAATGAAATACAGTGAAGTCAGCTGAGCAAGCAGCTTTAGTGTTGAGATAATGGTGACTCTTCACAGAGGGCTTGAGTATCTGTGAGCTTATTGCTGCGGTAAAAAGGATCAATCTTCCTTCCTTCATAATACAGTCATTCCAATAATTGTTGTACGATGCATTATGGTTTGTATTTTTAGCTCCTTTGTGTAAAGAAACTTTACTGGGCCGAATTTTCATGAGAGTGGCAATCTCATGCAGATTAGCCCTTTTTTTCTCTGAAAAACGGGAGCTCTGAGTTTCTGAGAGGAGATTCTATACAGTGCTCCCTCTGAAATGTGGACTTGTGCTTTCATTTGGACAACTGTTTTGTCATGTAGAACTGTCAGGGGAATGCAAATCATGACCCCTACAACAACCGCCCCCCCATCACAGTTAGCCACTTGATTCGGGCATTTAAAGACAGTCACTTTGATAGCTGCGAGTCATACAGCCATGGAAAGAGGCCCTTCAGCCCATTGTGTCCATGCTGGTCATCAAACATCCATCTATAAAAAGTCCCATTTTCTAGCACATGGCCCATAGCCTTGTGTGCTATAATGTTTCAAATGCTCATCTAAATATTTCTGAAATGTCTTCAGGGTTTTTGCCTCTACATTTTTTTAGACAATGTATCCCAGATTCCACCACTGTGTGTGAGTTTGTTTTCCTCCAATCCCCTCTAAACCTTCCCTTTACTTTAATACTGTGCCCCCTGGTAACAGACCCCTCTCCTAATGGGAAAAGTTTTTCCTATTTATCCTATCTATGATCCTCAGGACTGTATACACCTTAATCTCTCAGCCTTCTGTGCTCTAATGAAAACAGCCCCAGCCTATCTGGTCTCTCTTCAAAACTGAATCGGTCCAGCCCAGGCAACATCCTGGTCAATCTCGTCTACACTCCCACTAGTGCAATCACATCCTTCCTATGGTGTGGTGACCAGAACTGCACACAGTACTCCTTACAGTTCCATCATACCCTCCCTGCTCTTGTATTCAATATCTTGACTAATAAAGACAAGTATTCCATGTACCTTCTTAACCACCTGATCTACCTATCTTGTGGCCTTCAAGGATCTATGGACATCCACATCAAGGTCCCTTTGATCCTCCATATTTCCTAGAGTCCTGCCTTTATTTTTTTCCCTTTATTCATTAATGGGATGAGGGCGTCACTGGCCAGGCAGCATTTATTGCCCATCCTTAATTGCCCTGAGGGCAGTTGAGAGTCAACCACATTGCTGTGGGTCTGGAATCACATGTAGGCCAAACCAGGTAAGGATGGTAGTTTCCTTCCCTAAAGGACATTAGTGAACCAGATGGGTTTTTCCCAACAATCGACAATGGCTTCATGGTCAGCATTAGATTTTTAATTCTAGATATTTATTGAATTCAAATTCTACCATCTGCCGTGGCGAGATTCGAATGCGGGTCCCCAGAACATTATCTGGGTCTCTGGATTAATAGTCTAGCGATAATACCACTAGACCATCGCCTTCCCCATTCATCTTACCTTGTTAGTCCTTTTAAAATAAATCACCTTACACTTTTCAGCATGAAATTCCATTTGGCACTGTTCAGAACATCTGACCAGCCTGTCTATATCATCCTGTAGGCTAAGGCATTTTTCTTCGGTATTTACCACACTACCAATTTTCATCTTGTCTGTGAACTTGCTGATCCTATCTCCTGCATTCATGTCGAGATCATTAATGTGCACTACAAACAGTAAGGGATCCAGTGCCAAACCCTGTGGTACGCCGCTGGACATAGGCTTCCAATTACAATAACAACCATCAACCATCATCCTCTGCTTCCTGCCACTAAACTAATTTTGGATCCAATTTGAAAAATTGCCCTGGATCCCATGGGCTCTCAGCTTCTAAACCAGTCAGCCATGGAGAACTTGTCAAAAGCCTTTACTGGAGTCTGTGTAGACTATATCAATTGCACTCCCTTCATCTACACAAGGTAAGTATTTAAGGCAAGTGTGATGTTAATGTGCTGGGAGGACAGGTACCAGCTGGGTAGGGGTGTAGGTTCCAGGTAAGTAGGATGCCAGGTGGGTAGGGTGTCAGGTAAGTATGACGCTACCGGGGAAGAGTGCCAGGTGGGGAAGAGATAGGGGGCCAAGCCTAGACTGTCAGACCAGTAAGGGGTAGTGTGCCAGGTAATGACTGGTAAGTTTGTTAAAAGTACTTTGGCATGCTCTTGCGAAAATGATCAATCACTGACTCAATAATAAGTGGAAAAATAAATCCTATAGTTTATCAAGCTGGATTCCTCTCTGCCTTGAAGTAATAGCATCAGGTAGAATCAGAACTGTAGGTACTGACTCTCTGCATTCAAAAAGAAACTGGACCAGCTCCTGTTTAAGGCAGAGGTTATGTTATGTAGAAGTCAAATGTGTCTGGCCCAACAAAAATGTTAACTTGCATTTATATAGCACCATCAACATTGATGTATCATGGGGTGTTTCACTCAGGAAAGCAATTAAAGAAGATTGAAGTGAGTCACATAAGGAAATATTAGCAGAGATCTCCAAAATCTTGATCAAGAAGGGTGCTTTCAAACGGGCAAAAACAGAAGTTGCTGGAAAAGCTCAGCAGGTCTGGCAGCATCCGTGAAGAAAAAAATCAGCGTTAACGTTTCGGGTCCAGTGACTCTTCCTCGGAAAACAGACTCTTCTCTGATGAAGGGTCGCTGGACCCAAAACATCAACTCTGATATTTTCTTCACAGATGCTGCCGGACCTGCTGAGCTTTTCCAGCAACTTGTATTTTTGTTCCTGATTTATTTGGGCCCGAGTTAGCTGCATGCGCAGCTGAAAAGGGGGTTTGAACACACTGATGAGAATTTCAAAACTAGGCTATTGCCAAATAAGCAGTCAATGTAGGAGAGGGAGCACAAGGCAAACAGGACTTAGTGGGAGTTAGAATCCAGTCAGCCAACTTTTTAAAACAATGTGGATTCAAGTCAATGTCGTTCACTGAGTTTTGTCACTTCTAAATCATAATTTATGGTTATAGAAGTATATTTTACTAATATGCAATGAATTAGAGCTAAAGTCCCATTTTCCCAGCACACTGGCTGGTATTTTCCAATTTCTATCATCATTTCGCAGCATTTTCTCATCTCTCTATTATCCATATTCAACAGCAAATAGCCAGCTTCTCTTGTTTTACTCAACAATCTGAGCCGTTGTAACCAAGCCACAAGGAGGTCCTGGAGAGCCATTGAGGTGGCCTTCCTATTAATTTCCCTTAGCTCCATTGAGTGAGGAGCGTGGCTGGGGCCCTCAGTCAGGTATATGCACATTCCTGAGATTTGAGGACACCCGTGCTGCACTGAGGAAATGCATACCATCAGAGGGTGTTCTTCACCGGAAACAGTGAACCAAAAGCTCCTTAATGAACATAGGAGGTTATATTGGCAGTGTTCAATGAATAGCAAGGGAATTCTCAATACTATTAGCTGACATCCTGAAACAAATGATCTCCAGAGTGTTCTACTTGTTTGTGGGATCTTGCTGTGTGCATATTTACTGTTGCTTT